TTACCTTAAAATAAAACCATAGTGTTGTAAATAGTTATATTTAACGTGTCAAGTTTTAAAATTATACTTACAAATGCTTGGAATTACAAAGACTAAAGGCTCATTGGCAATACAGTCTGTTTTCATGACGGAGCAAATTAATAAGCATGACCACAGGAGAGCATCGATCGTATCACAAAATGATATTTTATAGTTGGTAGATATTCAGAACTATAAATTTAAATTATAAATTATTTTTAAAGTATGGATTATTGAATTCTAATTCATTTTTATAATTTATAAAATAAATTTTCGTTTTGATTAATAAAAATAAATCATATTTTTTGTGCGTGCCATAGGTTCGCCATCCCTGGCATAAGGAATCTATTGAATCTAATAACAGAGGTAATTATTTTGAACTTGTTTATTTATTAATTACGTCAGATAAATAATCTATTAAAAATACATTTAAAGAATTAGCTGATTGCCCCTGGAAGTCGGTTTCTTACAGAAACACAGCTTCCCTATCATCAAATGTCACGGCACGCCACTGTAACGCATTAAATTTATCACTGCAAGGAAAAAATAATATTTTCACTGCCAATGACAAAATTTCTGCGTTTAAGATGAAAATTTCAATGTGGAAGGAAAGATGTAAGGCAGGAAAATTTGACATTTTTGATAAATTAAGTTCTTATCTTTTAGAAAAGATTTTCGTTGATACTGATTTAAAAAAAAAGCTATAATTCAACATCTTGAGGATCTGTTGACTTCATTTAACAATTATCATCTTGACGATAATGAAATTGAAAATTATGTGTGAATAATAAATCCTTTTTCTACAAATTAAAAAAATTAGTTTGTCATCAAAAGAAGAGCAACTGATGGACATTTCTACTGACACAACATATAAAGAAATGTTTTCTACTGTATCTTTATCGTCATTTTGGGCTGGTCTAGTAAAAGCTTATCCAAACGTAGCCGATAAAGCTATAAAACTTTTACCATTTGTAACAATGTATTTGTGCAAATGCGAGTTTGCCAAATACTGTGACACAAAAACTAAACAAAGAAACAGGCTTAACGCATCAGCAGACATTCGTTGTCAGTTAACAACGTGGGAACCAAATTTTGAAAAAATTGCTGAAGATTTATCGCAACAAATAACCCCGTTAAATTTTGTTAGAAATTATTGTAGAATAATTTAATTTTCTTTATCGTTAATTATAATTATTTATTTTTAGGAAATGTAATTTATGCATGTATTGAAATGACTTCTGTGATTTTATATATCATCAAATAATAATAAATAAATGTATGTACCTGATTAAATTTATTATTTTTACGTAAAATAAGTAATCCACTTTTAGTTATAGTTAGTGTTTTTCTATGGCGCTCAGTTATAAGGGCTGTATACATCTAATGCAGTAATTATAAAATTTACATAAAAAAAATAAGGGGTACTTGAGACGAACTAATGGGCTAATACATCAACAAGAAAGGTTGAGAACCACTGTTCTAATGTAAGGACAGTCAAAGGATTTCTTACAGAATCATAATAAACAGGTTTTATTGGATACACACGAGAAGCAATTACACATTAAGGGACTGTCCATAAATGACGTCCACACTGGAAAGGGAGATTAAGACAAGACAAGTTGGACAAAGTCGGGGGAAGGACTTCAGTAGACGTACGTTTTTCATTAAATTTATACAGTTTATGCATTTTACAAACTTCCATATTCCTTCTACACAGCAAATTTTTCCGTATAACGAATTTTTGCATTGTACAGGCACACTGTTTTCTTTCAGCCAAAAACACATGTAAAATTGCTTCTAAATAACGAAGTTAAATTTCTATATAACGAATGTTTACTTTGTAATCATTAAAAGTCGATTACTCCATCTGGGTGGATTTCGAATTTAGCTTCAATTTCAGGTTTCAATCTGTAAATCCTTCGTAAAATCGCGGCCCAGGTGTGAGAAATACTGTTCTTTAGATATTAAAATCATGTAATCTGATTCACATTTCGGCTAGGGCACTATCTCTAGGAAGAAATTATAGTAGTGCGACTGGTAAACATAATTTACTTATTATTTGATAGAACGATAAAAATTATATACAGGGGCGGATTTAAGGCCTTCCCATTAACACCAAAAACAAAAAAAAACTTAAAATTTATTCTAACTTCAATGATGGCAAATATGATTCATCCGACTATCCATATTACAATCATCATGTACAGCACATGTTCATAAAAGATAGTTATTCAAATATTTTTGAATTAGCCTCCTTTGGGTTCTTCCGCATCCACTACTGATATAAGAACGGAAACCAATATGTAAATACAATAAAACAGTGATAATAATTTTAACGTTTCGGCGTGTATTATAAGGGGTTGTCCATAAATTACGTCCGAATTTTTCTCTGTCCAAGCTTCTGTAACCCCCTCTCCTTTTCGAACGTCCAACAAAACTCAACTCCCCTTAAAACCTTTATCATTATATGAATAATAGAGTAAAAACAAAACATACAAGAACTTTTGAAATAAATATAATTAAATGAATAATCTGTACAGTATAAAATTAAATGAATAAAACGGACGTCCACTGAAGCTCAACCCCTCCCCATTGTCAGACTTGTTATAACTCCCCTCTCTCCCATTGTGGATGTCATTTATGAACAGCCCGTAAATTACAAAAGACATGAAAAAAAAAATAATTGAACACTATTAATTAACAATCATCTTATTTCAGCATGCTGCAGCATCTCTTATGCGGATTCCACTGTACTTCTACTTATAGGAACAGAATGTGTCGAAAATCCAGACAAAAATAAAATTCGAGTTAAGGAAATTCGTCTTAATGCGAGTCTAGTTTATTTATGTTTTTAAAACTAATTTGCAAAAATAATTTCTGGTTAAAATTTGATTTTTCTCCCATTGTTTTGCTTTTAATATTTATTTTATGAAGTCTTTACTTAATAAAGATAACAATAACTTAATTTTAATTTTTTAATTCATTTACAAAAAACAGGAAAAAATGAATTACAAAAGTATTCCTACCCGTATTATATTCTGCAGAAATTTTTTAACATCTACATACAATATCAAAATTATATCAGTTCTATTACATTAGAATTTGCATAGAAACTGATGACATACATCTTTGATAAAATATAATTTTTATTTTTCCATATATTATCATCACTTTTTATATAATAATCTGGAATAAGAGGACAGAAAATCTGAATATAAATCAAAAAAGAAATTTTTTTTATATACATGTTTTCTTATAATATTTGAAATAAAGATCAATTTAATTATTCACAAAATTTTTATTATTTATTTTATGGATGGATTATAATTATGGAAAGATTGTCTAGAATTTTGCCTAAAATGCTCTGTATATTTTAATAAATGGTCCCTTTTTAAGTATCAAATCTTTGGTATGGATTGTCGTCCTTAATTAAACCTGAAAAGAAATTTAAGATATTAAAAACAAAATTTAATTAATTTTTTTTATTTATTATACTTAATAAATGTGAAATGAAGCAGGACAATGATGAATTTACAAAAACTTGCATTTTAAAATAGTGTGTGTATAAAAGATATATAGAAATGATTCAATACTAACAACTTTCCTCTGGGAGATTATTATTAAATAAAATGCAATCCTATAATTAATCATTGATTATTCTAAATGTTTTATATACAAAATCTCAATATAAAAAAAGAAAGGTTCAGTAAGCCATAATTAAAATTTTTTTCCACATTATATGAAGTATGTGCAATGTTATCATATATAATATATCAGATTACAGAACAGTGGATGATATATTTCCTATATGAATTTTATTATTACATTTTCCAATATAGTCTTGGGACTAGATTGAAGCAGTGAGGCAAAGGTTTGTGTATCTTGACATAAGTCATAATGCAATAAAAAAGAAAGATTGAACATTACTTGTGTTTCAAAATGATAAACCTAGTCAAATGAAATTTTCCAGAACAAAAGGATATATAATCATGATGAGAGCAGAAATTTTCCTAAAGAGAATTACAAAAGTGACAATAAGTAGTAGTAGTATCAATTTGCTCAAATTCTTGCAAAAAATGGTAGAAACAAACCACGATGTCAACCAAGCAAGAAATTCTAGTTATTGAGAAAGATAATACTGTTTTAATACAGTATCTTCACATCCATTGGTTTGATGGTATACACACAAAAAAATTAATCTACATTTTTAATGCTTTTATTCTTATCTTGATTACAGAATAATAATTTTAAATTCGTTTTAGTAAATACATTTTGGATCATACAGTATAAAATATAAAATCTAACTTACAAAAAAAAAATAAATAAAATGGCTAAAAGTACTGATTTTTCTGTCGTTATCTCAAAAACAACTTGACAAAAATGAAAAGTAAAATTGAAGACAAAACTGTCCAAAAAGGATCACCATTTATTACTTGTGTTCCAAGACTAACACACTTTCAGCGACTGACCTTTCTTTTTAGGCTACTTGTCGCCGGAAAGTTTACAAAAAGTCCTTTTAAAAAAACACAAAACACATCCAATTAAAATTTTTAAAAATTTCTGAAAAAGGAACTGGTGACATACAGTTGTCTTGCTTACTTCCATCATACCTTCTTTAGGCGTTGCTTCTGCTTTTTATCTACTAAAGATTAGCGCTGAAAATGTAGATTTTTAGAGAAGTTGCCCTCTGGTGACGATACATGTAGAAATTTCTTCTGTAAAAGTTTGTCCGATGGAGAATTATTTTTAATAAAATAAAATTGAAGACAAAACTGTCCAAAAAGGATCACCATTTATTACTTGTGTTCCAAGACTAACACATTTTCGGCGACTGACCTTATGACGATTTTATTAGAAATAATTCTCCACAGGACGAACTTTTACAGAAGAAATTTCTACATGTATCGTCACCAGGGAGAACTTCTCTAAAAATCTACATTTTCCAGCGCTAATCTTTAGTATATAAAAAGCAGAAGCAACCCCAAAAGAAGGTATGATGGAAGTAAGCAAGACAACTGTATGTCACCAGTTCCTTTTTCAGAAATTTTTAAAAATTTTAATTGGATGTGTTTTGTGTTTTTTAAAAGGACTTTTTGTAAACTTTCTGGCGACAAGTAGCCTAAAAAGAAAGGTCAGTCGCCGAAAATGTGTTAGTCTTGGAACACAAGTAATAAATGGTGATCCTTTTTGGACAGTTTTGTCTTCAATTTTATTTTATTAAAAATAATTCTCCATCGGACGAACTTTTACAGGAGAAAAATGAAAAGAATACAAAATAAAAGCACATTTATCAAAATCTGAACCTAAAAATTATAATTATATTGCTTGATGTATAGAATATGAAAATTCATTCCAAATTTTCTTTTAATTATAAAATCATTCCCATGAATGGTGTTTATGTAATTTCTTATAAGTCAGGCAAATTTATCTCAAATTTACTTGAGAATACAAATATTTGAAAAATTTTTTTATTGTATTTTAATTTTTATGGCAAAACAAATTTCTTTTGTAATAACCAGACACTGCATGGTCCTCTGGAGAGCTAGTATTGCCTTTGAAACTCAGCATCATGGAACAACTTTTATTTGATATATTGTAGATTTCATAGCACTTATATGTTGCTAATTTTGGCCTTACTAATATTTAGATCATGTTCCTTACACTGTTGGGGTATTCCAATAACTGAATTCAGCAGAGAAAAAAAGCTGTTACTTATCCTTCTCAAAAATTAATTTTAGGAACAATAATCTTACAACCATTATGAAATAAACCACTTTCAAAACAAGACATTACATAAAATCACGAGGCACAATGTTCCACGATTGTATGCACACCAACTTTCAATTCATTTACATGTTCTACCTTCTGTATGAACTGTTTATCAACAATATTTAATATTTGTTTTATGTTGTTATTTAATTCACAACAAACTGGTATATAGCGGTATCTCAAGAACTATCTTATATGAAGACAGAATTTATTCTCTCCTTTTCTATTCCTATTCTTTAGAATATTTAAATGTTAATTATTATAAAAACTGTCTAAAGCATTAGCTTAATAGAAATTAAAAATTAGACATCTTTTAAACTTAAAATCTATAAAAATAATAATAATTAAACTGATCATTTCAAATAATCAAAACCTGTCAGTACATTTAAACTTCATACCTTGTAATTCCATTTTATCTGTTGGATGAAAAACCCTCATAAGAAAATGATATTTAGTTGCATTCAATAGAATTTACTAAGTTATTTAGATTATATTAAATAATATTTATTTCCCATAAGATATAAATTCTGCAAACTTCTTTAAAATGTATGCATATCAACAAATTTTTGCATTGACATTTCCTGTTATAACATTAAAACAAAGCATTTTATACTGTTTACTACTTATATTTTTAACCTTATAGTCTTCCATTCTAAGCTTGTGTTATAAAATAAGCTTATAACAGTAGCCAATTGCTTATAATGGAACAAAACAAAGTAGCCTAACACATCATTTTATTAAACGTGACAACTGAAATGACAATGAGATTTCAATATATTTAATAGTTTTTCTTATCTGGATATGATTATTAAATTGATAGAAGCTGATGTATATTTATTTTTGAAATCAAATTTTGAAGTTGAAGATTATTAAAAGGAACACAGTTTGATCAAGTAAAGTAAATTTAAGAAACACAATTCACTTAAGGCAACAGAGTGGTCAAATCAATTATACTACCCAAAGGTAAAAATATTCTATTTCCAAAAATACTGAAAATCAAGTCACACATCATCATGCCCAATTACTATCCTTTATCGATACCATCCAATACATAGTATAAAAACATTCTGTAATAATTACAGAATATTGGGAAATATTGAAAAAGGATACTAATTAGGCATGACAACAAGCGTGAAACTTGATTTTTGATGTCTTTGGAGATGGAACTTTTAGCCTTTGGATGGAATGACTGAACACTCAACAACCTTGTTTTCAAATTTAATGCAAATATAACAAGTTCTTATACAAATAACAAGCATTGAACATTAGGAGTGGTATGTTATTTATAAATATAATTATGACAGAAAATATCAATGCATAAACTCACTATTATACAGAATAATTATTTTATTCTAGAATTAACTGACATTCTTTTGGTACTAATAAGTAATTTGAGTAATTTGTTTTAATACAAAATTTAGTATTTAAATTGATTATTTGCATAAATTCTACATAACAATCTAACTCTAAAAATAAATTTTTCCAGTAGATAAAATCAAATAGAATTCAATCTCTTTGCAGAATCTTTAGCAACGAAAGAAAAACAATAATAAAGATTCAATTTTATAAAAATGTGTTTTATAATGTTGGTAAACATCCAACAATTTTCATAATTCATATCAGATGTCAAGAGAAGTGTGTGTGTGTGTGTGTGTGTGAGAAATATAAACTATTATTATTATTAATGAAATGTTAATGTTTCTCTAGGCTTTTCACATAAGTGCTCTGGCTTAGCTGATTTTAATGATCACTTGGCTGGTTAATTTGGAAAATTCATGTGTCAAACAAAGATAGTTATAAACTGTTAAGCTTCATTCCCAATTGTGGAAAGTAGTGCATTAACCAAAAGCAGAAATATTTTTCATTTCTGTAGCATAGAGAAAAATGTATGTTCTTTCTTATCCTGTTCTAGTTTATTCTAAGAACAGATGATTTTGTTGAGCAAAACATTGGACCTTACATAGTAGTTCCTTTCACCACTCTATACAATGTCTCTCAATTTCTTTTGCTTTCCCCCTTGGTCTTTTAGGAGACTCCAAGTTCACCAAGATTGTGTCCTTCTCACTAAATCTGTCTAGCCATCTTCCATTCCTAACCCCTTCCTCCAATCCACTGATGAGACCCAGTACCCAACAGGACTTTGGCAGCAATGTTTTTCTTCACATCCACCCCCATCAGAATCCAAGCCACTGCCAAAAAGTGATGCACCTCACAAAGTTTCCACTCAAGGCAAACTTTATAGTAGGTAAAAGGTAAAAAATCAGTCTGTTTCAGGGTCCAAATAGGTTTAAGCTCTACTAATAACCTTTGAAACTGTTGATCAATCCTTACAGAAAAGATCCCAAAAAGTTAAAACTATTTTTAAACTTCTGTAATTATAAGCAGAAAAGGAAAATCAATTGCCAATAGAAAATGAGAACTATTGTGACATCTGTAGATCAATATGGCAGATAAAACAAAATGAAACATTGATGGTACATTTATATTTCCTTTGTAAACATTCTATTAGAAAGAAATACATTCAGTCCTCAACTTATGATCACTCATACTTACAATGGCTAAAATTAGTATATAAAGAAAAATATGTGATTTTTTTCATTATACTAATATAAAATTGGTCACATTCACATCATGGTATAATTATTAAATATTAAACATAATAATCT